GCGCGATGATCAGCGCCCCAAGAATATCGCCATGGCGGCCTTGTTTCCCAAACCTTCCACCAATGCCACCACTGCAGGTCTATTCACATTTCCCAATTTTATTTATTTATTGTGTGTATATATATGTTGTAAATATTGATTCTTTGAGTAATGTATGGTCGATGAGATGTGAAAATTTGAAATTTCTTGAATTCTTGATTTGTGTTTGCATAAAATGTAGGGTTCTTTTGCATTTTTGTTTAATTTTCGATAAGTCCTTCATTTACTAAAGAGTGAATTTTTCTTGTAAGTTTACAAATAGGAATAACCTCGGAGAATTTCGAATGTAAAAAGCTGAAGACTTTCGCATTTGTCTTGAACTAATTAACTTTATGCTGTCTGATTTTCATGGTTTGTTTTAAGTGATTTCGATACTGAAATTTTCTGTTTAACTTGGTTGGTCAACTAATATCATGTAGGCATCCCAATCATGCTTAGGCCTCAAACAAGGCATCCATTGGACCCTTTATCTGCTGCTGAAATCTCTGTCGCAGTGGCAACCGTCAGGGCAGCTGGAGCGACACCTGAGGTTTGTTTGTTTCACTATTGAATTCTTCTTCAACAAATGCAATTCTTATTTGGTGAAATGGTTGACTAAATAGCACTTTCCGCATTCCAGGTTAGAGATAGTATGCGTTTTGTTGAAGTGGTTCTACTGGAACCAGATAAACATGTTGTTGCATTAGCAGATGCATACTTCTTCCCACCTTTCCAGCCATCATTACTTCCCAGAACCAAAGGTGGACCTATAATCCCAACCAAGCTTCCCCCTCGGCGAGCTAGACTTGTTGTTTACAATAAGAAGTCAAATGAGACAAGCACGTGGATTGTTGAGCTATCAGAAGTACATGCAGCTACTCGAGGTGGACATCACAGAGGAAAAGTAGTATCATCAGAAGTTGTTCCAGATGTTCAGCCTCCCATGGTACTTTTCTTTTGTGTGTTTCCTTTTGACATTTAAACTTGTTTGTACCCTTATATGGTCTGTTTTTTTTATGTTCATGAAAGATTAATTTGATGTTTTGGACTTTTAGCTGAAGAAAACACCATGAATGATAGAATAGATATCGATTTTTGTACCTGTGATAGTGCACTATTTGAACTGGCATTTTGCTAATGGACTTGTGATATATGAATATGATAAGCTTTAGTTGTTCCATAGCTGTCTGAAGTTTGAGGTTTCTGTAAGTTCTTAACTTTTGATTTTCCGGAACTTCAGGATGCTGTAGAATATGCAGAATGTGAAGCTGTTGTGAAAGACTTTCCTCCATTTAGAGAGGCTATGAAGAAGAGAGGTATTGAAGACATGGACCTTGTGATGGTTGATGCCTGGTATGCAATTTACATTTAGTGCTCCTGTACATGTGGAATTTCGGCAGGTTAATCGATGACCTTCTACTTACATATTGGTGTTCATGCTGCAGGTGTGTTGGCTATCATAGTGAGGCTGATTCTCCTAGCCAAAGGCTTGCTAAACCACTGATATTCTGTAGAACTGAGAGTGACTGCCCTATGGAAAATGGTTACGCACGCCCAGTTGAGGGCATCTATATACTTGTTGATATGCAAAACATGGTGGTGATAAAGTTTGAGGACCGCAAGCTTGTTCCCCTACCTCCAGCCGATCCGTTGAGGAACTATACTCCTGGAGAAACAAGAGGCGGTGTTGATCGAAGTGATATAAAACCTTTACAAATTATTCAGCCTGAAGGTCCAAGCTTCCGTGTTAATGGGTACTTTGTGGAGTGGCAGAAGGTAATTTCCAAATTGGTTTATAAGTAATATTTTTTCTTTATTAAAAGTTGGTAAATCAACTAACATTCTGGTTGGCAGTGGAATTTTCGTATTGGATTCACTCCCAGGGAGGGACTGGTTATATATTCTGTGGCCTATGTTGACGGCAATAGAGGGCGAAGGCCTGTAGCCCATAGGTTTAGTTTTGTGGAAATGGTGGTGCCATATGGAGATCCAAATGATCCACATTATAGAAAAAATGCTTTTGATGCTGGGGAAGATGGCCTTGGTAAAAATGCACATTCTCTAAAGAAGGTTTGAGGACTAATTCTTGGATCAGTTTTGGTATATGAATGTTTTCTTGGTATTCTGCGTTTTCTCTTATTATTTTATCCATATTGGGTTGAATTAAACTACCATGACAGGGGTGTGATTGTTTGGGCTTAATCAAATACTTTGATGCACATTTTACAAACTTCACTGGAGGTGTTGAAACTATCGAAAATTGTGTATGTTTGCACGAAGAAGATCATGGAATTCTGTGGAAGCATCAGGACTGGAGAACAGGCTTGGCAGAAGTGCGCAGGTCAAGAAGGCTAACAGTGTCATTTATATGTACCGTGGCTAATTATGAGTACGGGTTCTTCTGGCACTTTTATCAGGCAAGTTCCACATAACTTTCTCACCTTTTCTTAGATCAAGTGTAGTGCATGTTCTTTTCAGTTTAATTGTTAACTTGCCCAGTATAATACAAACATTTTCTCTCTAAGCATTAGTTCCAGCTCTTTTTGAGGGTTTTCATGTTGTACGAGCTACCTGCCTAACAGTGAAATCAATATCGTGCTGTTTTCAGGATGGTAAAATTGAAGCTGAAGTTAAACTTACGGGAATCCTCAGCTTGGGAGCACTTCAACCTGGAGAGGTTAGAAAGTATGGTACTGTGATTGCACCTGGGCTATATGCACCAGTTCATCAACACTTTTTTGTTGCTCGTATGGATATGGCTGTTGATTGCAAACCTGGAGAAACTTACAATCAGGTATGCGGCTACTAAAAGTCTTACAATCTAGCATTGTGCTTTCGGCTTTGAGAATTTTTTCTTTTGGGTTATATTATGTAGGAAGCTTGGCTTCCATGATGAACTATTCACAAAGTTTATGCAAAAGCATATTACAACACTGATTATAAGAGTAGTCCATGGATGTCTGAGGGCCACACCTACACCACAACATACTAATTAGAATATAATTGTGAAAATATGTTTGAGTTTAAAACTTCATGAAACATCTTATTCTATCGAAACTGTAAAATCCACCTCCAAACCTGAGTCTAAAATGTGAAGCAGGAAAATATGATCACCCCCCTGCTCTTATTGAATGGTTTATCTCTAAAACTACTCAAGCACATTTAATAATGGTTTATTTATCCTTAAATCCATTTTACAAAATAGAAGTTTCATAGGTTTATTACTTCATAAGAATTTACTTATTATTACCTGCAGTAGTGATTAAATTGTGACTTTATCATTGCTTGTCAAAACAACTGTATAAGTCTTAAAATCAGTTTTTCTTCTGTAATTATTTATTGTAGGTTGTGGAGATGAATGTTAAGGTTGAGAAACCTGGAGAGAATAACGTCCACAGCAATGCATTTTATGCTGAGGAGACACTTCTCAGGACTGAATCGGAGGCTATGCGTGACTGTAATCCTTTGACGGCTCGCCACTGGATTGTAAGGCATCGTTACCATGATTTTGCAGCTGGTCCTGCTCAATGATTTCCTTCTGTTGTTTAAGATTCTCAGGTGCGATTCTTGTGTCCAATCTTGCTCATGCTGATTTGAAATTTTCTCATGGTCCAGGTACAGAACACACGAACTGTAAATAGGACCGGACAGTTAACAGGCTACAAGCTTGTTCCAGGTTCAAACTGTTTGCCATTAGCTAGTCCTGAGGCCAAGTTTTTGCGAAGAGCAGCTTTCCTGAAACATAATCTATGGGTTACACCATATTCGCGTGATGAGATGTTTCCTGGAGGAGAGTTTCCAAATCAAAATCCGCGTGCTGGTGAAGGATTAGCCACATGGGTTAAGAAAAATCGATCTCTGGAAGAAACTGATATAGTTCTTTGGTTGGTTTCCCTCTCTTAGTTTATCATGCCCATATCTTACTTTTGCCTTTGTACGTTGTATGTACACATAACTGTTTTAAGCTGGTGGAAGTAACCGCGATGATGATTGCAGGTATGTATTCGGAATCACTCACATACCTCGGCTAGAAGATTGGCCTGTCATGCCAGTGGAGCGCATTGGATTTATGCTCATGGTATTCACGCGATAAATCTTTTTTATGCTAGAGCAGTTTGTCATTTTATTGTCTGGTTTCTGATCCCGCATTTTTGGTTCATTATTGCGGTTGCAGCCTCACGGATTCTTCAACGCCTCTCCAGCCGTGGATGTTCCACCAAGTGCATGTGAATTGGAAGCCAAAGAAAATGATGTCAAAGACAATGGAGTAGCCAAGCCGATTCAGAACGGGTTGCTAGCAAAGCTCTGAAAAACACATGCTTTCTTTGACTACCTTGTTTCAAATTCATTGTTTTTCTTTAAATTTTTTAGTATGATCGAGCTACGCGGGTTTTAAGTCTTAGCGGTTTCTGTTGTTCGTAAAGCACATAAACGATTACGAAATACATTCCATTTGTAATTCGTTTATGGTTTTCATATGTGCTTCATATCCGGATTTTGAAAGATTGGTCCAGTATTTCAATCACATTAACATGTCTTACAAGGGTATAGGTTGAGTACAAACTTACTTTTGGATGGGAGTTTTGGTTCGAGCTATATTCTAAATTCTAATTTAGTCTAAACTACGGGGATGAAAATTTGAACTTGTGTTAGAGAGAGAGAGAGAGTATTGCTCTATCCCACTCATGACTATTGATCTCTTAACCTAATTGAAGCAATGTTCCTTCAACCAAAAAGTGCTCGTCAAAATGTGTAACTATGATCATTTTGTCAATTCTGCTACAGCTTTTGTCAAAATGAAGTCGTGACTATTGATTTTTTAACTTATCAAAACGTGCAACTATAATCATTTTGTCAATTTTGTTACAACTTTTGTTAAAATGAGTCGTGATGGAAAGTCTATTGTTATTGAAGGATCATTGCTCTAATTGAGTTATAAATTAACTAAAAGACCGAAGATATGTCATTTTCATTCCCACATTTCAATTTCCCGCCCTACATTTAAGCTGCCGCGGACTACCAAGGGCGTGACAAAAATTTGAATCTATCGAAATTCCAATGACACCAGAAAATCTCTTAACCCGTCCTCCCATCGCCGATAAATTAACGCTGGGCTGCCCAGTCCTCGACCGCTGCCTCGGTGGTGGCGTCCCCTGCTGTTCAATAACGGAGCTCGTAGCTGAAAGCAGTTGCGGCAAGACTCAATTTTGCCTCCAACTCGCCCTCTCCGCTCAGCTCCCGCCCTCCCACGGCGGCCTCTCCGCCTCCTCCCTTTACCTCCACACCGAGTTCCCCTTCCCCTTTCGCCGCCTCCACCAACTCTCCCAAGCATTTCGCTCCTCACGCCCACACCTCGTAGCCATTAACCCCTGTGAAGATGTGTATGTTGATAGTGTGCACGACGCATACCAGATGCTTGATATAATGCCAAAGATAGAGTCTTTTATTGAAAGCGCGAAAACCCGGTTGCCTGTCAGGCTAATTGTGATTGATTCCATCGCGGCGCTGTTCCGGACTGAATTTAACAACACCCCCTTGGATCTTAAGCGGAGGTCGTCGCTGTTTTTCAAGATTTCCGGGAAGTTGAAGTCATTAGCGAATAGGTTCCGGGTGGCGGTGGTGGTGACGAACCAGGTGGTTGATTTTATGGGGGGAAGTGATGGGGTAAATGGAGTCAAAGTGGGCAACTTTGGGTCATTGCACTCCTCTGGAAGACGGGTTTGCCCTGCTTTGGGACTTGCTTGGGCAAATTGCGTGAATTCGAGGGTCTTCTTGTCGAGAAATGAGGTGGTTGTTGCCGAAGGGAATAGTAATGAGCTGGAGGATGGTCTTTGTAGGCAAACAAAGAGGCGACTTGATATTCTTTTTGCACCTCATTTGCCCCAAGCATCGTGTGAATTTGTCATCACACAGCAAGGAGTGTTTGGAGTTGTCTCAGCTAACAGATAAATCTGATGGTGATGGACGTGGTCCAGTACTTACCTAAATTTTGAGTGTAGGCTTCTGCTAGCAAAAGTGAAGACTGGGTTACTAGACCAATGGTAATTCACTTGTCATGGGTTCTGAGGCCAAGTTTTTGCGAAGGGCAGATTTCTGAAACATGATATTTGGGTTACACCATACGCACGTGATAAGATGTTTCCTGGAGGAGAGTTTTCAAATCAGAATTTACGTGTTGGTGAAGGGTTGGCAGTGGAATTTTTGTATTGGATTCACTCTTAGGGAGGGATTGAATATATATATTATGTACCAGATGCTGATGGCAGTAGAGGCAAAGGCGTATTACCCACACATAGAGTTTCATGGAAATGGTGGGATATGGAGATCCAAATGATCAACATTACAGAAATGTTGATGTTGGGGATGGGGATGATGGCCTTGGTAAAAATGCTTCTGTAATCAATTTAGATTCCGTTTATGAATATTTTATGGTTCTTTGTCTTTGGTACAACAGTACAGCTTTAGCCTCTAGGATATTTTTAGAACTTGAATTATCGACTTTCTTATATGCGAACATTTTCTCGCTCTTTAGCATCAGTTCCAACTCCTTTTCAGGGGTTTTCATGCAGTATTCGCTTACTTATCTTTTATGAGCTACCTGTCTGTTTTCTCGCTGTTCTAGTTATTTTATCCTACCGGTTAAGCCAATGTTATGCTGTTTGCAGGCTGGCAAAATTACAGTTGAAGTTAAACTACCAGAAATACTCACCTTGGGAGAACTGCAACCTGGAGAAATTAGATGTACGGTACTGTAATTTCATCTGGGCTATGTGTACCAGTTCATTAACTTTTCTTTGTTGCTCATATCCATACGGCTGTTGATTGCAAACTCGGGGAAACTTAGAATCAGGTATGCTACTTATAGTCTTACCATCAAGCATTGTGCTTTTGGATAGATAAGCACATGAAAATGCCTTCGTGCTGATTTATCTGCAAAGTGAATGCCAGAGCATATTACAACTTTGATTATGAAAGTAACTGATGGATGTTTGAGCACCCATTAGATCGCTGGTTAGACGATAAATCTGAATTATGTTTTAGTTTAGAGCATCGTATATTACCCCAGTAATACCAGCTGAAACATCTTATTCTGTAGAAGGTGCGAAATCCCCTCCAACCTGAAAGTCTAAGACGTGAAGCAGGAACACATGATCAACCCTTCATCACTTCTTGCTTTCAATATAACTCCCACCACGATAACATGCTCTAAAATGACGCAAAAACGCGTCATGGTACTTGACCTATGATGTTTTTTTTGTCAATCGACAGCGTTTTTTGCTTCAAGATACTTGAACTATGAAGCCTGTTTTGCGTCATAAACTTTATCACTCCCGAATCTACGAGGCTATTAACAAACATCATTTTTGCATAGGAACAACTTTGAACTATTAACAAGCATCATTCTACGGGAACGCATCTGCAGTGCTTAAGTGCGTATGAGATTAAGTACATGCCAATCCATTCCTTGATACCGAAGGATCGAGGACTACGAGGTTAAGCGCGTAAAGCAGAAAATCATTGCAAAGAAAACAGAAATCCATTAATTCAAAACATATCCGCGATCCTTAATTATATCACGTTAACCACAAAGGGTGAAAAGAAACAGATAATCTAGAAAATGACATGCAACTAGATATTGAATATGACGGTGATGGATCGATCAGTCCACAATGACGAGACTTCGATAATCTTTGCCGGAGATGGATGCTTCCATGACATGGTTCTGCCGGTCAACTTTCCAACCTTTTTCTTTGTCCCAAATATCCTCGAACGAAACTTGTCCAATCAGATTATCATCCCCTTTCTCCTCCCTAAACTTCCAGCTATTCCGGCCGTTGTAGCCGCTACAGGTGTACCTGTATAAGGGAGCCAAAACCTCTTTCCTCAGCCGGTCTACAACTCTGCTCTCGTAGTTTTCCTTGTATTCCTCCGCGTATGATGCTGGTGGGAAAACCTTCCGCGCAATGCTTTCCCACAGCAAAGTGGCCCGGGCAGCGTGGGATTCATAATGGTTTCCGGTAAGGAAACAGTCTGCAGCAGTGGTTACCTCGGCATACTTCTGATCATCGTCACCATCATCATCGTCATCACTGTCGTCGCTCACATAATATTTAAGGTAATCATGCTTGAATTGTCCCTTCAATTTTTGAATATCTGACTCCAAGCACTCCACAAAAACATCGGTTACACGGTCATGTAACAACTTATAATCCGGATCACCCTCGTACATCTCTACAGCCTTCTTGGTCAGTTTCTCGAGGGGCTCCAGTGTCCCCCATCTACCGTCTCGGCCTTGTAGGAGGCGGTGCAGAAGTTCTACAAGGCTATACAAACCCATACTCCCAAAAGAGGAGGCAATAGGCGCAATGTTGCACAATAGGGTCTTGGGGTGGTTCTGGTGGAGCCAAACCGCCGCCCTGTAGAACGCTTGTTCATATGATTTTCCATTCCTATGGTCATTCAGATGACATATGAGCTTGAGGGTGGTTAGGGGATCGTCGGACCATGCCAGCGGCAGCAGTTGCTTGAGATAGTCACAGGAGGCCTCCACCTCCGCCTTTAAGGCTGGTGGATAACTTTTGATCGATGCGGTTGCAAACTCGTAGTACCCGTAGTTGTCATAGTCAGCCGATACGACGATGTTGAAAAAGATATCAAGGCGGGGGTCGCCGGAGGAGAGTTGGACGGTAGATTCAGCAGTACTGAATCCCATTGCCAGTTAGAGGGGTTCTGCTACTGCTCCTAGTGCTCATTGCTGTTCTCTTGGCGTTGGAGCTATCCCGTTCCCGAATTTCGGAACCATCAGAGAGAGTGATCTGCCTGGAATTGTCAGGTTTGGAGGAACAAGAGTCGGAGAGTTCGGATAAGCCGTCAATCTCACTGCGAGTTGTGAGATTTTGCGGGCGAGGTTTGTGTTTGCTGCTTTCATAACTGATGGGAGGATTTCCGTCAATTTTCCACGAGGAGAGAAGGGAATATTAGGGCAGAAATATAAACGCTGTTTACTTGGGTGACAAGGAATTGGGCAAAACCCTAAATGGTTGCTTATCCAATTCAAATCTATATTGATTAGATAAATGATTTTATTTACTTGGGTGCCAAGAAATTGGGCAAAACCCTAAATGGTTGCTTATCCAGTTCAAATCTATATTGATTAGATAAATGATACTATAAATTAAAAAATTGAAAATAATTAACCTACATGGCACATGTCAATCTCTTAATATTGATAAAAACTTGTGTAGGGCTTGGCTTGCTACCGGATCATACTGAGTGACACTACCACACCATTCATAACTTGCCATGCGTTAAGCATATTGTTGCATTAGTATAACTTTTTATTTTCAATTTAAATCATAACTAATAAAATTAATAAAAACAAAACTTTCTAAAAACACCCGACTTTGAGGGAGTGTAATTACTGGTTGAAAGGTTCATTAAACCATCTTAAAGGTTCATTAGGTTTCTCACTAACCTCATTATTTATATAAATTATCGGATAATTATCAGGTGAAGTACTCAATTATCAAAGCCACCTTCCTTCACCGGTTGTTTGTAATTCCCAGGTTTCAAATATTATGACTATTGATGTGAAATTGAATAAATTAAAAGCAATCATAATCATGAGAGAGAAAGATGATAGATTGGGGAATCAGGGAAGAGGGAGGCTGAGTAGTAAGAGGGGGGAGGGGGGTGGTGGTTTTGCTGCAGATGGAGGAAGGTTGAACTGGGGTTGGGTCAGTTGGCGGTGGTTTTGGAGAGGAAGGTTGAGCATGGGGTTGGGTCCGTTGGAGGTGGTTTTGCAGATGGAGGAAGGTTAAACTGGGGTTGTGAGTTTTATTTTAACCATTTTTTTTTAAACAATCGATGTTATCTATAAAAGATCATAATAAACTAGCAATAATATGGTTTAAATTTACCGTTGACGAGCATCGAATCTAAAACATCTCAGTTACAAGTGAAGAAAAATAACACTAGATCGTAGTACTAAATAACTTATTTTAATAATTTTAGTTTCTTGAAGAAATAGTTTTTTTTTCCAATTTAAGCCGCACATAAATTTTTCCCACTTATTATCGTGGCAATGCTCACCACCTAAGTACCAATTCGAATTCCGGATAAGGATTCGATTTCGTCCGATGTTTTTATTGATCCACGTGCACTGACCAAATTAACATTAAACAACTACCCAGATCACAAGTAAATTAATTATAATGACGATTTGTATTAATTATAATTAACAAGATTTTCTTTTGCAAGATTTAGGAGTTTGTTATTGTTTGGATTTAATTACTTCAATCACTCTTCTCTATATCTTCTAGTTCATTGTAAAATATAAGATGGTCAATTGTAGGCTACTTGTAAAAAAATAAATATAGTCATATAAAAAAAATTAAAAATAGAAAAACAGTAAACATCTTGAGTTTCCTTCCTCTCCTCATTTACACCAAATTTTGCCAATAAAACAAAATCTTATAAAAAAAAAATAAAGAGAAATGTGAAATTATTTATCGGGTTGTGCTCTCCATATTTATTTATTTTTCCTCACACATTTAAACATGAAATTCAATAAATTAAAGAAGATTAATTAAAAAACTAACGTGTGAGTGGTTAAAAAAATGTATAAATTCTATTTATATTTAAAAAACCAGAGAAATTAAAAACAATTAAAAAATAAAAAAAATTTGAATCCTCAGATGCTGATGCAGATAATCACCTAGGAGGATGCTCGCCGGGTCGTGATGATTCAGTATCTTTCAATTACATTCATTTATTGTATATCGTCAAATTTATTTTAAGTAAGTACTGTTTATATTTAATTTTAAATAAAAAAATTTAGAAAGATCCCGCGGCGAGGGTCCTCTCTCGATAATCACAACCTTCCATGGCGTGTCGCCGATTATTCGTTTCTGAAATTCGAGCGTCTTGGCCGGCACAGATTCTCAGAAACCCCAACAACCTCTGCATCCGCCAGACCTCCTAGATTTTCTGCCTCCTTCTCCTCTGGTCTCCCAATAGTCTTCCACTCTTCCCACTCCCCTACCACCCATGGCGGCGAACCCAGAAAATGACGAAAGGACCCTCCACGACGAACTCTCCCTCCCGGTCCTCCTCGCCGATCGCGTCATCAAATCGGCCCAGGAAGCCGAGTCCTCCAAACTCGACTGCGCCGACCTTGCCAAGCAAGTCGACCGCCTCTCTCAAATGCTCCGATCCGCCGTCCGAATCGCCGCCGCCACTCAGTCTCTCTACGATCGCCCCGTCCGCCGAATCGTCGCCGACGTGGCAAAGAACCTTGACCGGGCGCTGACCCTCGTACGGAAATGCAAGCACAGTGGGGTCCTCCGGCAAGTCTTCTCCATCACCACCACTGCTGATTTCAGAAAAGTGTCCAACCTTCTGGAGTCTTCGATTGGAGACATGAAGTGGCTTCTCTCGGTGTTTGAGTCTGACGGCGCCAACCTCTCCCTGCCGCCGATCGCCAGCAACGACCCGATACTCAGCTGGGTCTGGTCATACATCGCGACCATTCAAATGGGTCAACTCAGGGACCGAGTCGACGCGGCTAACTCGCTTGTTTCACTCGCTCGAGACAACGACCGGAACAAGAAGATAATCGTCGACGAAGGCGGCGTGACGCCGCTGCTAAAGCTTCTGAAAGAAGGGTCTTCTCCGGACGCCCAAATCGCCGCCGCCAGTGCTCTGTTTCACATCGCCACTGATCAAGAAAGGGTCCGAATTATAATTGATTTGTTGGGAATTAACGTTGTTGTCTCGGTTTTGGGCGATTCCCCGATGAGGGTTCAGGTGTGCGTGGTGAGATTGGTGTCGGAAATGGCGGAGCTTGACCCGGTGGCGCAGGAGGAGTTAGGCAGAGAAAATGTGATTAGGCCTTTGGTGTCTCTGCTGGCAATGGACACGGTTCTGGATGATCCGAAGGTGCAATCGGGTAAGCCTAGCATTCATAATCTTGTTCAGATTAATAAGCAGTTAGCTGTAAATGGTTTGAATCCAAATAGTCGTTTGTCTTCCTTTTCGAATCATTATCATTCGGATGGTAGTAGTAGAGGTGGCGGGCATCATCGAAAAGAGAGGGAGAGAGAGGCGGAGTCCAATCCTGAGGTGAAGCTTGAGCTGAAAGCCGGTTGTGCCAAGGCATTGTGGAAATTGTGTAAAGGGTGTTTGTCGAATAGTCGAAAAGTTACAGAGCCGAAAGGGTTGATTTGTTTGGCAAAGATTATTGAGAAGGAAGCAGGGGAGTTGCAGCTGAATTGCTTGATGACTGTGATGGAAATAGCCGTGGTGGCGGAGTTCAATCCCGACCTTAGAAGAGCGGCTTTTAAGCTTAATTCTCCAGCTGCAAATGCAATTTTGGATCAGCTTTTGAGAGTGATTCAGGAAGAGGCTAATCAGGAATTGCAAATTCCTGCCATTAAAGCAATTGGGTCATTGGCAAGAACTTTCCCTGCTAGGGAGACCCGGATAGTTGGTCCTCTGGTTGTCCGGCTTGGCAGTGCGGATGTCGATGTGGCAATTGAGGCTGCCATTGCATTAGGGAAGTTTGTGTGTACGGAGAATTTCAATTGCGTGGAGCATTCCAAGACGATTATTGAGTTTGATGGGGTTCCTTCTCTGATGAGATTGTTAAGGACAACTGATCGAACTAGTGAACGGGGTCATGTCAATTGTTTAGTACTACTATGCTATCTAGCATCGCATGTTGGCAATAGCAAGGCTCTTGAACAAGCACGGGCATTGAATACTCTTGAGGGGGGAGCTCGATATCTTGTAGCTCAATATCCCGATTTGAGGGATTTGTTAGCCAAAGCCATACACAATCTCACACTTTATCAGGCTGGAGCTCATCCCCACAGGCAAACCTTCATACCGTAAGCACTTGCAGTTTCAGTCATGTGAGTTTATCCTGTTTTTGTAATATAGAGAGGCAAATTGATTTATCGCCATCATAACAAATCCAAAATTGAATGGTGCACGAAATATTTCTTTGTAATTTTGTATCACATATGTATGATCACCCTACTGTGTCAGCTGTTGTTTTTTACAAGATGAGTGGATGTTTAGGCATGTATCAGCAATCTGTTGCACATAATTTGAAGGTATCTTATTGTTTCGATGAAGCATCAAACTTTTGTTTCTCCCCGTCTACTAAATCTGCCTATGCAATTTTCATTCCTTTTGTCGATATAAATAGTTGTATGGGAAGTGCATAGGTGTAATCTCGGTTATATATTGGTTTGGCATCGACGAAAATGGAATGATGTGTTTCGAGTACTTGTTATTTTGGATCGTAATCTGGAGCTTCTGAAAGCTTTCGATACATTTTAGATCTTCAAATGTACATAGAATTTCTCTGGAAGTCAAGAGGTAGGTACTCTTTTATGTTCTACTATGTTGTATATATGCCGATGTTTTACTTATATTATGGTTGAAGGCACTCGTTTTTTAGGCTGGCACATAGCATGATCCTCTTGCCTTACCTCCCTGAGCTCTTTAATTCTACGGTCACTTTCGTACGATGATGAGACGGCATGAAACCACCTCTGGGCGGGATCAGTAACAATTTTCTTGAGGGCGATAACATTCTTCAAGTACGTAACACGTTGAACGGCCAAAATACCCTAGTATTTCTACTAGATTGAGTTCTGCTGTGGGTGTTTGGCAACCTTTTGTAGTTTCAGTTTTGCAGGGATGAAGAGAAATGCAGCTTCATCACCTCTCTGCAAGTAAAAGGGAACCCTTCATGAAAAAACGTAATTGGATGAAGACCCAAATGAAACCAGTAATTCCTAATCCAAAGGACCAAAGAGCTATATAAGGACCAATGGGTTATTAGAGCCCTGGCCTCTCTGCACTTTTTTGGGCTTTTAATTATATTTTTTTTGGGTCGAATTTGTAGTTTTCTTATACAAAGTAAAATTGGTTATATAGAGCTCCCCATGGCCTTTCTGGTGAGTTGGTTATGATAGGTTGTGATCAATTAAAATAAACTTAAGTCTGGTGTTCATTGTGTCAAAATGTGAGATGAACTATTGGACATGACTGGACAAGATAGATTATGAATACACAATAGAGTGAGTTATCTAACCTATCCATATATACGGGTTACAACTCTTGCCTAACCAATTCCTGTCAATCTAATCTTATCTCTAAGACTCAATCTCATCCAATTCACCAAATGAGTCCTTAATTCTTGACAGCAATTGATTAGAAATAACCAAATTATTCAAACTGAGAGGGACATTTTTCTATTTCTAAGCCACCTTAAGCATGTCATTAAGCAACTAATGACAATCATTAAGAATGTCATTAGTTGCTCCTCCATTCAAACCATGAAAGTGGAAACCAATAGAGACATTAAACCACCACTTTCTCTGGCTCTCAATTTTAGGTTAATTATCTTTGATGAGAAGCTAGTTATGAACATGATGAAGCTTTAGAATTAAGCAAGCAATAAGCACTTTATGTTCTAATTTATTAATTAGTTGAATCTTAATCCTGTCATAATTACTATTACTCATCAGCCAAACTGCAAATTGTGTAGTCTTTGTAATTGCAGTCTCCAACAGCATGGATCTTTTGATATAGGCGCCTCAGTTTTGAATTTTCTAGATCAAACATCCATGTCTTTTAGTTATTTGATTAAACATTTTTTGTCATAATTTTGGTGATATATGCACATTATATTGTAACAAATTTCTTATAATCTAGCCTTTTGATTACACTCTCCTCCGTTAGAGATAATTGTAAAAAAAAAACAAAAGTTGGTTAGATTCAAAATTATTTTCACAATAATGCTACAATTTAGCAATAATTATCTACGATTTAAGATATTTTCTTTCAAAATAGTTTAAAATATTTTTAAATCCCCCAAAATCAAACGTACCGAAATAAGTTTTTCTTTTAGTACGTTTAAATGAAAATAGGATTGAGAATAATATAAACGTACCAATACACAATGTGTACAAAATAAAACGTACCAAAATAAAAATAATGTACCAATATTAATAATATGTATCAAATCAAACGTACCAAAATTGCAAATAAATGTACTAATTAATGATTTTTGTAAATTCAAACGTACCCGCAGATAATATATACATAATATATTATACCTAATAATAATTCGTCAACAACTACACTTTAAAAAACAGCAATATATATATATATATATATAATTTCACAAAAAAATTGAAAAAATTACATGAAGCTTTTTTTTGTTGATCACCAACTATTTGAAAAAGAAAAAATCATTTGGAAAAAGAAATAATATAGTTTAATTACTAATATCTCCACTAAATAAGGAAAAGTTGTAACATCCCACATCGCCCAGGGGAGTGGATCATGTAAGGCTTGTATGTATATTCCAATCTCTACCTATCATAAGGCCTTTTGGGAGCTCACTGGCTTCGGGTTCTATCGGAACTCCGAAGTTAAGCGAGTTCAGGCGAGAGCATTCCAGGATGGGTGACCCACTAGGATGTTCTCATGTGAGTTTCTAGAAACAAAACCGTGAAGGCGTGGTCGAGGCCCAAAGCGGACAATATCGTGCTATGGAGGAGTTGAGCCCGAGATGTGGTAGGGGCCTGGGCCGGGATGTGACAATTTGGTATCAGAGCTAATCCCTGGCCAGATGTGTGTCGACGAGGACGTCGGGCCCCTAAGGGGGGTGGATTGTAACATCCCACATCGCCCAGGGGAGTGGATCTTGTAAGCCTTATATGTGTATTCTCATCTCTACCTAGTACGAGGCCTTTTGGGAGCTCACTAGCTTCGGGTTCTATCGGAACTACGAAGTTAAGCGAGTTCGGGCGAGAGCATTCCCAGGATGGGTGACCCACTGGGAAGTTCTCGTGTGAATTCCCATAAACAAAACTGTGAGGGCGTGGTCGGGGCCTAAAGCAGACAATAACGTGCTACGGTGGAGTCGAGCCCAGATGTGGTGGGGTCCGGGCTGGGATGTGACAAAAGTGCATCATGCAGATAAAATGATAAATTCAAAAATTATTTAATTTGGTCAAAACACTTTAATCAAATTTTAAAAAAGCACAGATGTTTAATCTAAATGATATAGAAAAATTATAAAGAATTCTAATTTTTCCATTAATATATATGATTATACTAGGGTTTACGTACGTAATGTAACACATGTATAACCACAAGTTACAATATTAATAACCAACTCATGCATTATATATAATATGAGTGAACCGGATATACCACGATTTCTATACATCCTTCCATTTTTTTTTTTTTGAACAAATACAGCTGTCCATTATTAGACCATAAACTATTATAAAAATGCCTTGTTTAATTAATATGGAGCTTAATTATAGGGTAGTGCTATTCACATGCTCTTTTTTAACTTTCACATAACCCTTGTTAATTAATTTTTGTTTATTGATTATCTTGAATTCATTCGATCCGACAATAAAAAATTAAGTGGATGTGTGGAAAGTAACAATGGGTGTGTGGATAGGAGTAGGATTCTCTTCCATTCCATCCCCTCCTATTTAAACGGTTGCGATTACGCCACATCTACATCTTGTTTTGAATTTTTTATAGGAAAAATTAGAATGCTCTACATCTTTTCTATAGTTGTTAGATTAAACATTTATCCCTTTTAAAGATTTGATTAAGGTGCTTTGATCAATTGCCACCTCAATAATTTTCTATTTATTTAATTTTCATGTCATTTATTTAAATGCATTTATGTAGAGACATAAGGTAGCTTAGCAACTAATTGCCTATAATATAGGAATTTAATTTCGTCAATCCCCTTCTATGCATTAAATGACATTTTTTAAATAAAATAAAATAAAAAATTAATTAACTAATTCCTCATTACCTTATTCTCAGTGTTTAAAAAAAAGAAAAATTCTCTTTCTATTAAAAATGTCTCAATAAAAAGTCTTCAATACATATATTTTCACGTATAGATATATAAAAAATATACTTAAAACTTATGGTACATTTGAGAACAAAAGTATCGACTTTTGGTACATTTTGATTTCAAATGTTCCGAGAAACCAAATGTACCAAAAATTCAAATGTACCATAAAACCAAATGTACCCATTGTTATGTAACCCTTTTGATACGTTTAGATTTCAAATGTACAGAGAAACCAAATGTACCATAAAACCAAATGTGCCCATTGTCAGGTAACCCTTTTGGTACGTTTAAATTCCAAATGTACCAAAATACCAAATAAACAAAAAATCACAAATGTACCACAAAACCAAATATCTCTATCAGATAACCCTTTTGGTACATTTACATTCCAAATGTACCGACAAATACAAAAAATCAAATCCACTATAAAACTAAACGTGTCCACATTATAGGTAACTAGACGTAGCTATATAATCAAACAAATCTTTATTATGTGTTGGGTCTTCTAAATAATAAAGTCTGACAATTTTTTTTATAAATAGTCTACCATATTCACACAAAAAAAAGAAGCAAAATTATAACAAACAATAAAAAAATGCATAGATATGGATAATAAATGCATAAATATAGTGATAAGAGGAAAAGAAAAAAACGAAATGTTCAGGAAAAGTTGTGAAAAACTAAAATTCTAAACAAAATTGAACTTATGTGAAAAACTGAAATTAATAACCAAAATTTTAGGAAAATGTTTGATCAAATTTTCAAAAGGAGTGTATGTTTTGTCTAAAAAATTTTAAAAATGAGGCGCCTCTATCAAAACGCCCTTTTTTTTTTATATAGAGAATAAGACAAAAAGAAGAGTGTGAGAGGAGAGGATGGAAGGGTATGGTAATAGGAGGGGAGAGAATCCTACTCCGTGTGGATAAAACCATCCTAATTATAAGCTACAATGGCTGATAAAACTCTGCCAGATATATGCATGCATCTGGAAAGCTCTATCAGCAAGTGAAAAATGTTACATTTTCAGATTTCCAAAGATTTTGTGCACCAGATTCAAAGATTTCTCCTGAAAAATGTTGAACTAGCTGGAGGCATCATAATTTGTGCTAAGACAGGCCAATCAAGTAGAAAAGCTCAAAGCCCTTGACCTAATTGTGCTTTTATTTCTGCTCTGTAGAGAAATATTCAAAACCCACCAGATGAATGTGTAAAACATGTCACTTATGACTCAATTACTTACACAAAAGCAAGCACCTACCTTGTCGGGTGCCGTTCGTACTAATATTGGTCTCAAAGGGCTCATTAGCTAAAGCATGCATTTCAAAGTTCACATGAACAAATCTTTGTTCGACCAAACGGTCAAGCAGTACACTACATTAGCAGTAGTACTTGATATCTTTGAATTTTAAATTCTTTTCATCTTCTTTTTTTTATTTTTTTTTATTTTTTATTTATCAAAATTCTTTTCATCTTTACTTGAAGGGAAAAAGTGCAACAAGAAGACCATCATTGTTTTCTCTGGGTTCATGCATGCATTGATATTCTTTTTCACCATATCTGCAGTCGGTTCACTTCAGCTTTTAGTTTTGCATATATATAAATATATACATACAAGCAGTAATGAGAGAAAGAATACAAACGCAGTACAACAAATACAAAAATAAATACTTTTAGCGGCTTGAGTTACAAGATTCTTGTACATATACATGTATGCTTATATATATTTCAATAAAAAGTAGGGGAAGATTGTACGTAATTCCTAATTATACCATTCCTAAGTTCGTTTTGATGTGATTTGTTTATAATCACTAACGTAACAATTGATTAATGTTTGGACTTGGTGATTATGCTCTTAGATGTTTAGATCAGGAGTAAGAAGCAAGCAACTTCAGCTTAGCTGTGATCTCACGGATTATAACATAACAGAAAACGGAAAGGAAAGAAAAGAGATAAGAATATTTAATCAATGATAACTGATGTTTAGTTTGTATTAAATTAATAACTGTCACCACCACAACGAGGGTGATTTTTCTTTTCATGTTTTAAATCATGGGGCAGGAAGGAGTCACGGCTAGTATCTGTTAGGTAACACAGCACTATATTCATATAGTCTTGTGTAAGTTATTGTCTTCAATGCCTCTCAATTCGTTTTCCTTCCATATAGTTTTTAGTTCGGGACAAGCTAGCCCACACTATATGTCATGCGATATGCATGCATGGTTTTAGAAGCATTGGAAGATTACACTAATGGAGGAACCAATTGGTTAAAACATGAGTAGTTGAACATTACACTGATGGCTCATTTACGTAAGTGTAACCAAAGTAGGAGGAATTAGAGTGAGGAGGAATTGAATTAAGGAGGAGTTGAAATGAGGAGTAGTCAGAATCGAATTCCTCTTGAAAAATAATCCAGCAAAAGAGGTCGTTTGCTAGGTAGTGGATAGTGATGGCTAGCAAAACTGGAATTATAGTAAATATTTAAGGGCATAAAAAGTAAGAAAAATGGATTTTGAATTCCTCCATACACTCGGAATTGAAATACCACCTCCTAAAATGAGGAATTGAGTTCCTTATTTTGTGTGGGTCCCACCTTTCTATTTATTCGCCAAATTCAGCAAGCGAAGGCATACCCCGTAATCGGAATTCAAATCCCCGTTTTGATTTTGGTTATGGGTTCGTAAACACGCTATCAGAAGAGAAACACCAAACACAAAATAAGACAAACACAAACTCCCCAATTTGATTCTAGTGATGAGAACGAATATAAAATGATTGGTAAGAACAGGCTAAGTTCACGGTTCAAAATTCGAAGCCCTCCCATGTAACCAAAAGAGAAACACCAAACACTAACTCTACTTCATATAGAGCAGATTGATAGCTTTCTATGATCATTTTTCGTGACCCACTATTGGCTATATGATTGAGTACGTACTTGTAATGGTATGGCCTACGGATAAGGTGTTTAGGGTTAAGGTATCTTGTGTACCTACAAAAATAGGGAAGACCATAGAGAATTATTTGAGAAGGGATTATTCATTCTACATATTATTTTTGACCAGGCATATGTGTCTTGCCCCTCAGATTTTGAAAGTCAAAATTAGCCCTTATATATATGCATGGGCTCCATGTGTATGCAAGAGTTTGGAAGTCATGGCCGGCGCTGACTGGCATCTTCCTAAAGTTATATGGTGCCCATTGTGAAAGCTTCCCACTGTCTATCATCGTTTTCGTTCTTTAAACAATTTAGACTTTTTTTTTCAACCGAGAGACTCTAAATGCAAAATGATTTTTGCAATGACTGTCACACCGTTAGTAACTTGTATGTGTTATAATATAAGTGACGACAGATTTCTTAAAAGCATAATTAAAACATATTCATAACATAATATATTGATAACACATTATGTGACAGTTTATACGTGTGTACTCTCATTCTAGATGTCTCTCCAATAATGTAAGAGAGGCCAGCCAATTTAAACCTTTTGGAGTGATGCGATTGAAGGCAAGAAAATCAGCATCCCTGACATATTGTGTGTGTATATATAAGCCCCAGCCTAATCCTCTTAAAACTCTGCCAGCGTTTCAAGAAATATATCACAATCTCAATCCAACCCCACACACACACCTACACTGAATTAATTTCCTACACTCATTATATAAATATGTATACATATATATATAGACAGACATATTTGTATATGTGTATTATACATGCACGTTCAGTTCATACGGGTTAGCATCAATAATGAGCTATCGTTTGGTCATGGGGTCAATAATAAAAAATCAGATTAGTTTGCAGCTGTTTGGTGCATAGCGATGTTTTGGCCGCTCGAAAAGCACTTTTGTGGTAAGCAGAAAAAACAGAGACATGAAAACAGCAAGGTTCTAATGATAATTAGTTAACCAACAAGGAAAGATTAGGACCACAAAAAGAACTAATTACACTCATGATCATCTTATTTCAACTTTTTTTTTTCTGAAAAAAGAAAACATAAAAATACAGATTACAGAATGTTCTGCAAATTACAATTTAACAACCTTGTCAATAAAAAGTGGAAAAAAAAAATATCCTCAAATATCTCAAACCCTTTTTTTTCACCAGTATGAATTCCCCTGTTACTATCAACATCGATGTGTATTTGTTTAAAAACCCATGAAAAACCCAAAGAATTAAAAATGAATTTACAATTTTCAAATATTCTGGAAAACATCAAAATTTTCACCTGTTAGATCTTCTGACAACGACGTTAATGGATAGCTACTGAAATCTACTGAATTTTGAGCATGGTGATGAACAAGCTGCCCTTGTTGTTGCCAGGAACTAGTGGGTTTGATCATTTCCTCAGACTTTATCCCATTGACATGAAACTGAAACAAAGAGTCTAGTTTGTTATCTGTTTCCCATGAAAAAGCCGCATTTTCGATTGTGTTGTTGCCGTTGTTGCTGGTCATATGATACCCTGCTGCATAGCTGCTGACGTTCGAGCTATTGCTCGAGCTTTCCTTAACCTCATTCATGAAAAATGAGCTGAGTCTCGAAGCTGAATTGTCCGAAAAATCTGTGCCGGACATGCTTCCGTGGTCCGAATTTGCCAAACTTGGCATTGAAGTAAACCCAAAATTTGAGCTTGACTCATAAGGTCTAATGTTGGTATGGTGGTATTGAGTGGCAACAAGATCTGAATTATAGGCTGATGATGACTCGAAACCGGATTGGGACTCGAAACCGGGTTGGTACTCGAAATAAGATAGAGAATCAAAGGCTCTTGAGGCTTGTGGATTGTTGAGGACTCCTCCATTTCCATCATAGTAATTTGAATCATTGAGAAGAAATGTTGGGCCTTGGGAAGCCATGGTTATTGGCATAGCTGGAAGCTCTGGCATTGGCAAAGACTCTTTTAGGTCTGAACAATCAATGTTCTTCCTTTCTTTCAGTTCTTCTTCAGTTAGTGGCTTGTGGGTAGTTGGGTCAATTCCTTGCTTCATTAGCTTCTTCTTCAAACATGAATTCCAAAAGTTCTTTATCTCATTGTCGGTTCTTCCTGGCAATTGTGCTGCAATTTGAGCCCACCTGATGAAATTCACAATTCAGTCGCATAAACAAGTATTTACATCATTAGGGTTTTAAAATGTTGATTATAGTATTGCTCCATGTCGAAGCGACAAGAAAAATTGACAATAAACACGGATATCCGTGGCACAGAATGAGGTGGCCAAAAGTGTTACCGGTTGCCTAGAACTTCGTGAAGACTAAGAATGAGATCCTCTTCCTGTTGTGAGAACATTCCTCTCTTCAAATCAGGCCTCAAATAATTTATCCATCTCAATCTGCAACTCTTTCCACACCTCTGCAAACCTGATGAAAAACCCAAAAAAGAACAAAAGGAAACAAATACATACATCAAACGTTTGATGAAGTGTTCGATTACCTGAACTTCGTAATGCAAAGTTGAAGTGAGTTGGGGAATTACCAGCATGCTTTGGGACTGAGCTCCAGCAGCCAACACCAAATCGAGTGATGTAGTTGAAGAGCTTCTCATCTTCTTCCGGTGACCAGAGGCCTTTCCTTAACTTCTGCTTCAAACAACACGAATGGCGTCCCATTTTTCCTGTGTGCTGATGAAAGTCCGGAAAATAGTAAGCCGCTAGCAGGTTAGCTACTGATCACAGCAACAATCCAGACATGGGGTTTGAGAATATATGTCTGTGTTGTAAGAGCGAGGAAATTTAAGATTAATTTCTTATGATTTAAAGAAAAGTGGGATAAATCATACTTAGAATTCAAGTTAGAGAGAGAGAGAGAGAGAGAGAGAGAGAGGGAGAGAGAGAGAGTTGAAGCAATCAAGTGGGTTTTACGCAAATCTGGTGCTGCTGCTTTTACAATGGACTGGATTGGTTTTTAAGATATCTCTATCTCTACAAGTTGCCAGAAAAAAGTGATATAACTGAGTGAAAAATACAGTTATATGTATAGGACTCATAAAAATATATGAAAGAAAAAGTTGTTTAGGTTTAAAACCTCATAAACTCAAAAGGAGTTGTCCTTTAATTTTGTGTTGCTTACACAAATAGGAGACCTTTTGGACCTTGACTTAATTGAGCATGAGCATATATATGTATATATATACATATATATGTATATATGTATATATGTATGTTTAGTGTAACAATCCATAATTTTGCACTTAATTAGTCTCACCTACTATGTATGTATGTTTAGTACATATGTATATATGTATGTTTATTGTAACAATCCATAATTTTGCACTTAATTAGTCTCACCTACTATGTATGTATATGAGTAGTTTTAAGTTTTTAACCCCTTAGTTTCTTTTTTAATAAAGCGGTATTCTAAATTATTTTAGTTACGAGAAGAGATTGGAATTTTAGTGAAAGGAGATAGACATACTGCACTTACCAGTTGGTCTAACACTGTTGAGAACATTAATTTCAAATCAAGAAAATGAGACCTTGCATATGCTTATAAGTAGTTGGGCTACTCCCCATATTACTAAGTGATTTTATGGTGGAACCTCAAATTTCTTCATGGTATCAAAGCATGTTGTCTGGCGTGTGATACCCAACGGCCACACGTGCTCCAAAAAGTCACCCAATTTGTGTTGTCCACTTGCTAAGCTTGAAAATTCATCACACGTGAAGCGATGTGTTGAGGGCATCAATCCCACATCGGGAAAAAGAAATAGCTGAACTATTATTTATATTGTCAATTGGTTTTATGATGAAACTTCAACTTTCTTTAAACCCTACACCAACATTTTTTTTTGGGGTATATGATATTATATACCCATTTGAACCAAAAGAATCAATAGTTTTATATAGAAATACAAGGATTACGGTTCGATTAATTTCTTCAGAAGGGAAATCAAATATACTTTCTTCTCCCATTTGTTGCTGAAGTGGGAACATATTCATATTCATATTTGATCAATTTGCATATAAATAGTATTTAAGCCATGACTGCCAGCTACTGTACACAGTATACTGCATTGGAAGACAAAATCGAAATTATAAATAATAATTAATCTTATCGAACCACCACCAAGCAGTATTACTCGAAAATTATATAATATGACTCAGGTTTTTGTATAAATATTTACAGGAAAAAATATAAAGTTCGCCGACAGTATACCAGAGCATCAACTGTGGGTTCCATTTGTGTATATATTTGACTATATAAAAGATAAATTATTACTTAAGTCGGACTAGAAAAATCTTGGCGGTAGCTATGTATTTTTCATAACAACACGAAAGAAAAAAACCAAAGATTCCACAAAGAAAAAAAACGAAAGAACAGACAACTTCCCTTTCCCTTTTTTTTTTCTTCTTTTCATTCATATTTTTCTCCTCCCTTTTGGACCTGCCGCCAGTAGCAAGTTTCTTTTGGTCTAACTTAATTAGTGTACGAATCTACCTAAAATAGTTGAAATCAGATCAATTTGCCTGTATAGTTCTTTATTGTTTAAGAGTAAATTTTTTTTCTTTTACTTTTGACTAATGATGCATAGGTGACGTTTTTACTTACCTCATATTGTGACTCGAGCAGTAATCAATAAAGATGAATTCAACTATATAAGTTGGTATTACTTTTATCACTCTCTTTATTGATACAAACAATATTGAGAAAAATGATAATCGATCTCAAGACTTTAGAAGACTCGATGCATGATGTGAATGCTCCTATTCAACTGAACTTTAACATTACACCCTTACTAGTTAAACTACAAGCTCTTAAATTTTAAACCCTAGCTATTACTCCCATCACTCTTGCCCCTCGCATAATGTGCTACACAATATGATACATATATGGTTCAAATAGTTATCTATTTATTTTGGCTAATTATGTTTTGGTAGGGATCACACAATTCCTTGTTTAAAAATACTCGTTTTGACAAGGCTGCAAATGCTTATAAGTTAAATTCATTCTACTGAATGACCAGGGGAAGTTGATATGCCTCTTTGAGTCTTCTCAATTCCTGAAATGATGGCTGCCCTCTTTTTTCTCAAAAAATTACAGTGACAAAAAATTGATTTTTTTTTTCTCCTAGTTTCTTATTAATTGACAGATAAGTTCTCTCCTTGGTCCCAAGCATATATAAATTGAGAAATAAATATGGGCTTTTGTGGGGGTTAGACTTAAAGAAGATTAATGAACTTGCTTAATCAATGTTTCATAAATAAGATCAAACAAAATAAGGGAAAGCCACAACAAGTACTCCCCCTTGCCATTAGTTTTCATGAACTGAAAAGAAGAAAATTTGCCCTAACCCTACTACCCTTAGCTTAAAAAGGATGAACAATCAAAGATCTCCATCATGGATTAACAGAATGAAAGCTTTTGATCAACTAATAGAGGGAACTGATCCACCAGATGGCAGCCACGTGTCCACATATAATCAATTACCGTCTGAGTGGCACAAATTGTATTTAAACTTCATCTTGAATGAAATCTCAATGATTGGAGGCTCTGATAGACGTTTCCATGACCGACACTTACACGTATGAGGATATAAAATGCCATATAATCTTGGAAAATACACAGCCAGCTCGACACACACAAATACGGCCGATTTGTACACTGCCCTACCATCTATCGTCGTTTTGTCGGTCAGTGATCATGCTACAGTCCTATGGACCATGGAGTATGATTCTCTCATTTTCTATTCTCATTCATTTTCCTCCATTTCTTTCATATTTTATTTTTTGTCTTATTGTTTTTATAAAAAAATCAATATAAGATGTTGACGTAATTTAACCATAACCATTCAAGTAGAAGGAGAGGAAAGATAAGAGAGATTAAAAAGGGAGAAAATCCTACTCCCAGTCCCATGCCTCCAATCCGGATGTTTACTGTTAATTTGTATACAAATCTTTCCATACATCTCGGCGGATGTGACTTTCTTCTTCAATTTATTGTGTCGTGAATAAACATAACATTGACCTTAGTATAACATGTTATAAATTTTATTGCTTGTATATATTTTTCCACCGACCTCCCGCTCGACTTCCGATCGGGCTACGAGCATGAGTAGGTAGGCCAATCAAGATTAAGAGCACGCTGGTTCCTGAAAAAATGAAAACAAGAAGAAAAGCTTATTAAAAGAGCATAATTGCCTATTGGATTGAATATAGCAAATTGCTTTGTTTTAGATTACTTGAAAATTATGCATTTGAGATGAGGTTTAAGTAATAATAATTAAGTGTGGGAAATGATATTTTTTGGGCCATAAAGATCTTGTATTACACGTGAAAAAATAACTTCTTGGAATTTGAAAGCAGACTTGATGTCATCGCTTAATAGATTAGTTTTAATGACATGACTTATAATTCATGTTGTTAAATCACTAATTGACACAGGCTGTTTAGAAGTAAAGGAAATGCTTAATTATTGATTTGAATCTAAGAGCTCCTTTAAAATTACTTTTAAAATGATTGAAACCATTTTAAAAAAAAATTATCCCTAAAGCATTTGAAGTGTTTTATACAAAAAGTATCAATTATGTTCTTATTGCAGAAAATATTTAAGTGTTTTTTCAGAATTTATTTGTATTTTAACTAAAAATTAATTTCACAAACAATTCTACTAAAAACACATTTAATCATTTAAAAAAAACTTTCAAACGATCATAAATATTTAAAAACTTGGAAAACAAACACAGGACTAGGGAATTGGTTCGATTTAATTAGTACACACTGCCTGCGTGGGCAATACCTTTTGCGACACCCATGATGTGAATATAACTTTTGAGCATTGACTTCTCCTTAATTTATTTTTACAAAGTTTTTAAAGTATATTTTCAACCCTGTTCAATTGAAAGACCTAAATCTCAAAATCCATGGTGAAAACGTTTGTGACAATGTCAATCATATCGTCTGTGCACAGACTGCAAGGTGAAGAATTTTATTTTACTTTAAGAGATTATATTCACACATTCTAAATTACTTCTTCCACATTTTTTTTAATTTTTAAATATTTTCTACACACCACTAACACTTAATAGAAAAATATTAAAAAATTAAAAAAATATGAAAGAAATAATTTGAAGTGTGTGAATATAATCTCTCTTTACTTTATCTCAACATGGCTAACATGAAAATTTAATAATGTAATTGAATGATAGAATTTATACGTTACAACATATAATATTGATTATTAATTAACGTTCTATAATATAAGAAGTTAGTTATACAAAAACACAATATTTTAGTACCACACAATTGCTTCTCGTTCTCATATTAGCTCATAAATCAATTTCCTGCTAAACTTACTGTAAATTTGAACTTGCATGGCATGAAATTTGCTATATAAGAATTGTGGACCTAATTATAAACAAAGATGAGGTTGTATGATATATGTTATACATTTACTCATTTTTCAAATAACAATAATTTACTTGTTATCTTATATATACTTGTTATTTTTTAGTACGATATTTTATATTTTAGTTTTTATAAAGAAGGAAGATTCAAAATTGAGCATCTTACTTTAGCGGTTACCTAATTATTACAGAGATTTCTTAGTATGCTAGGAACACAGTTTGATACATCAAATATCATAATACAAACGATTTGATACTTGAAAAAAACAATTCAACTACTTGTAATAATATTTAAAATACCAAACTATATTTTCATCACACTAAGGAACACTTGAGTCCGACGAAAGAGTCAAAAAGAAGAAATTAAACTAACATAAACCTTAATTGGACTGTACTTCAATTTATTTTATTAGGCCAGTCTTTTAAAATCGATTTTATAATAAACCGTACCACAAGAAATTTCTCACTTCATGCATTTCAGCATTTGGGTCCCCAAAGATTTTTGAAAAGGACAATGATAGATAACTTGTTTCGAAAAAACTCTTGACATAGGACCGTCACATTATTGAGAGATTCCTTTCTTTTATACATTTCTTTTTTTTAAATTGACCAGAGGCAATTATATTAGTCATTAAGCTTGGCTAATCCCATTTCCATATAATCATGTTATTACTAATTAGCTACAAACTTA